CTATAGCCCCAATACATTACGTTTTGCTAAAATTTGCTTGAATTAAAAGACATCTAGCCTTTTCAACTATTGTTTGGTTGTACCGTTCTGCAACCCCATTTTGTTCAGAAGTTTCTGGGACTGTGAACTCATGCCTAAATTTTGAATGTACACAAAACGTGCTGTTTTTTTGTTCTTACAAATAGTTCTATTGTCTGTTATGAATTTCTGAAAATTTTCAAAAGATTCACTTTTGTAATTTATGTACTTAACCACTGCGCAGTTGCTAAAGTCGCCAACAAAAATCATTACATATCGGAATCCGTTAAAGCTTGAAGTATTTACTGCTCCTAATTCATCGCTAAAAACTCTTTCAAGTGTTGTTTTTGCTTTGTTTTTTTTGTGATTTTTGGAACTGGTTTCAGTGTAATTTCAGACAGAGCCAAGTTTTGCATATTTCGTCATGTGGTGAAATCTTTAATTCAATTGGGGCTTTTAAGTCGGTATATTTTAAGTCACCGAATTTTGTATGCAAAACTGATGTGCGAATGAATGATTTGCAGTTTGCTGCATTTTACATGCAATTTAAGCAAGAACAACAAGCTTTATAACAAAAATTATGTGTATGCCCCTTCTGATTACATGCCCCTAAGTTAGAACCTGCTTTTTTGAATTCTTTTTTCAAAAGTTCTGCTATGCCACGTCCATAGCATGTTTCTGTTTTTAGGGAATTTTGAGTTCTATTTTGCTCAGGAACTAAAGATGAATTAATTGATTTCATGAAAGGTTTTGAATGTATTGGTCTTCTCGCAGAAATTGCTATGTGCTGTTCCTTATCAACTTCACGAGCTGCCCGGCCTTCCTCGTAGTTTGTCAGCCTAGTTCTCAATTCCGCAAATGTGACCATTTTGGATGAGAAGTTTTAATAGCGATGGAATATGTAACAAAAACAGGGGACGTTTATTGTCGCCTAACGAATACATTATTGTTTTTTTGCCAAAGTGGCATTGGCGTGAGTGAGTGATTTTGGGTCATCCATCTTTCAAATTTCCATAATTGCGCCTGACATTTGATTTACATCATTTTGTGATCATTTTTGTCAGAGAAATTTACTGTTGCTTAAAAGGTTTAGTTGTAGGACATAAAATTATGAACTTGGTTACATTAGTATTAATATCAATCGTGAGCAATAAAATGTGCAGTTTATCAAAAGTTCATTTGGGCGATTTTGAAACTGTCAATGTCAGTTGCCAGGTTAGTTTGTTTTTCTTAACAACTTCTGAGTTATGGAATAATTGATGTTTTATTTTTTTTGCAAGATATTTTCATTAATTTTTTTTCAGTTTTTTTTTAATATGTCGAGACTAGTTGTTCAAAACTGCTTGGGATTTTTCTTCTTTCAGTTAAAACGAATAAATTCCCAAAAAATGAAACCTCAATCAAAACAAAAACCTTAAATCTGTTTTATTTTGAAAAGTATCAATTTTGTGCTTTTGGTTCAAGAAAGTCAGACAAATTTGAAGATTTCGAAGTCTGCGACCATTTAGACTTCTGTGACTAAAGTTATGTATGTCTAGACTTTTGTGATATTTTTTCCAGATATCCAGACGCTCTCGGTCGCAAAAATCTGGATAACACTAATGTTGGTCGCGCCGCTGCATCTTGGGTCGCTCTCGCGGCGCCATTTTATGAGGCGTTGTGGCGTTGCGGCGCATCAGTAGTGATGGTGCCCAGCAATCATATGATTGCGGGTTCAAATCGCACGCGCGCTGCTTCTTACAAGATGACCTCTTTCAAGTCATAACTTAGTTAGTCTTAAGTAATTAACTCTCGGGTTTGGCCTCTGACTGGTTAAAAAATAGCAATGTTTGGTCGTTAATCTCAAATAATTAACTCTCGGGTCAGGCCTCTGGCTGGTTAACTAAAAACATACATGGCAATATTTGGTCTCAAAGATTTGGACATATCGAAATATTTTTCTCGAAAGTTTGATCTCTCGGTCTCCGCCATGCAGAGTCATAAAAGTCTGATGTATATTATATGTTGATTTAAATCCAATTTTTATTATTTTACCTTGATTTTTTTGAATTTTATTGGAAACGTTTTTGTTTCAAGAATCAATTTATTAACGCAAAATTACTGATTCAGCATCACAAGTTAGAAGAACACAAGTTACCCATATTTTTCAATTTCCAGTCAACTTCTGAGACTGGAATGGAAAAATCCGAAAGTGCTGGAAAAACTTTTCCAGTTAAAAGTATGCTATGAGGAGCGAAGAACGTAACCAATGTAAATACTGCAAGCTGGGTTGTATGTTTACCGCGGCACTCGGCAGGATAACACAAGGGTTGATTTTTTTGATTTTTATTCTACGATTAAAATCCGATTTAAATCATTGATTTAAATCAAGTTGATTTTAATCATGCAACCCTGCCGCTGTGGTCGCGAAAAATGCGACAGATCTTTTTAGTCCAAAATTGAGATGTGAACAAATTTGGTCGGGACATTCTGGAATTAGGTCGCGGTCCTCTACCGGGGTACATGTCTCTAAACTACTTTACGCTAGGAAAAAACCCGCCCGCATGTAAACTTTTTCTGTGTGGCCGGAAGAATAAGGTTAACACCATACTCTCAAATCAGAGTGGTCGAAACACAAAAATACATGATTGGAACAACTATTTTTTTCCTATTCTTAGGTTAAGGAAATTACCCCACAGCAGCGTCGGGCCAGTATCACCACCCGGGACGCCTACATCAGTGAGATAGCGAACAAGAAGTCGGGAGCGAGGATGAGTCTACCCCCTGATGTCAGCCCCATGATAAAGACAACAGAAGACATCAACCCCGGAGTTGTTAGGGACTAACGGGAAGGAGAAGTTGAAAGGGGTGCGGAGAGAGGGGGAGAAGACAAGGCTGAAAAGAGCATTGAAAAAGAAAGGCAAAAAGTGTTGTTCAAATGACGCATTTTGAGTCTTATCCCTATTTTTTGTAGCAATGAAATTTTGGCTGAATTTTGCTTATCATCAGCAACCATCATTAAAAATTAAGTTATATAAAAACATAAATTTACAAAATTTGCATTTTTTGCATGAAGCTAGAATATTTCTTAGGGGAATGTTTGAACGATTAAGTTTATGTACATATTTACATAAAAAGCCCCCTATTGCATTACGTAAGAGAATGACTACGGTATTGAAAACAATATAAATTACAAAAAAAAGTGAGAAGTGAGCTGTTTCCATATCCTAATTGAACAGACACTGATTTATTGCAGATTAGATAAACAGACTTAAATAGCGAAGCCTTCGATAAACTCAAAATCAAGAAATGAGTCGTTGACGCCTGCTGCAAAACAAAAAATATTCTGAAATTCAATAGCAAAGACATGATAAACAGCTACAAAAAAAAGAAATTCAAGCTGAAATGACAAAAATGGATATCGTTGACGGGAAAAGAAACAATAAACTTCGTTCTTCGGAAAATGAATGAAGATTTAAATTGAAGTTCGCAATTTTGTTTTGATTCATTAATGACTTAATACTTACAATTTATAATTGATTATAGTTCATTATGAATGAAATAAATTGAAAGTATGTTGGGTTCTTTTTTTCAATATTTTCTAAGTAAGTGAGCACGTAAAAATTCTCCTCAGTAACATATTGATAAAAAATGATTGAATCATCTGAATTTTCTCATTTAGGCCGCGAAGATCTAGACCTTTAAGAGTAAAAAAAACCTAAGAAACGAAATGTTCGAGACTATTTAGCTTAAATTATTTTTTGTTCCGAATTTCGTAACGAATGTAACGGAAGGTAATATAAGTGCTCGGAGTGGTTTATTTTCTTTGGACAAATTTCGTTTTTTTTTAACCTAGCCATTTCTGACGAATTTTTGTTCATATCATTCAACAGGTATTGTTGTCTTGAACTTAAATTTGAAAAAATATTTTACCTAAGATCATTTTTCGTAAAGGTTTTGGGGTTTAAAGATTGCCATTCAGGCCACTTTAGGACAATTAGCGCGCGATTTATTTTGCGCTCTTAACGCTTAAGCGGAAACCTAATTCATCTTAGAAATAGTTCCGAATTAATTGAAGTAAGCTCAATTGCCAAAATTGAGTTGTTACAAGGAGCAAAATTTATCACTTTGCTTTTCATATGGCGTGTGGGGAGATGATTTTCACAAAAAAAAGCCCGAATTTCAAACTTTTTTCCCTTTATTTCATTATATTTAGTTTTTTTCATGGTTTATTGCTCCATCGACCTTTAAAGGCAGTCGAAACTCTCAGGGCTTCGCACTGATACGAGCAGTTTTAATACTTTAAGTCAAGGTTCTGAAAACAATTAATCACTTTAACACTGGAGGTTGAAGATTGAAGATTTCTTTTGCTCTTTTCTTGTTTGTGCAACTCTTTCATGTCTCAAACTTGGACAAATCAATGTTAGAAAACAGCTTTTTTAACAGCCGTTAGAAATTTGAGGCCATTCGAGTACAAAATCCGACAAAAATTCCATTACTTAAGTTTTGCGCAACCCATTTTGGGACTTTGCGCGACTCATGTTACGACTTTGTGAGACCCATGTTGGGGCTTGGCGCGACACATGTTGCGACTTTGCGCGACCCTTGTTGCGACTTTGCGCGACCCGAATTAGCTAATAGGCGACTTTGCGCGACCCAAAATTAGCTATGTTGCGACTTTGTGCGACCCAAATTAGCTATGTTGCGACTTTGTGCGACCCAAATTAGCTATGTTGCGATTTTGAGCGAACCAAATTAGCTATGTTGCGAACTTTTGCGACTCAAATTAGCTATTTTGCGACTTTGCGCAACCCAAATTAGCTATGTTGCGACTTTGCGCAACCCAAAATAGCTATGTTGCGACTTTATACAACCCAAATTAGCAATGTTGCGGCTTTGGGCGACCCAAATTAGCTATGTTGCGACTTTGCGCAACCCAAAACAGCTATGTTGCGACTTTGTACAACCCAAATTAGCAATGTTGCGGCTTTGCGCGACCCAAATTAGCTATGTTGCGACTTTGCGGGACCCAAATTAGCTATGTTGCGACTTTGCGCGACTGAAGTCTCTCGCGGGATGATGGAATTTTGGTCACCGAAAGCCCATTGTTGCAGGTTGGAGGTGCAACCTGCAACAAAACTAAAACTCATTTATAGTCTAATGATATGAAAAACAGCCAAAGTTTTTGCTCTGAAAGACTATACACTCTTCCATAGAGAAAATTGTCATAATTTAGTGGTGATAGACTTCAATTGTTGGAATGGTCAGTTTTGCAGATTAGTTGATTCCAGGGATCTTGTTAATTATCCCGCCTATGTAACCATGTAACGAATATCCCCCTATAAAGAAAGAATTGAATATTTACGATTTTTGAGCATGTACGATTTTTGCACCTTGTTATCTATTCCCCCTCCCCTATTGCAATAGGGGGGAATAGTTAAAAAGATTCGATTCCAGTTCATTGTTAGACGATGTCAAATAGACATAGCCGAAAAGTCCTGAGAGAAACAATTGATCAGTGCTTCAATACAGTGATGAAATAATTTATGGTGTTAAAACTAATAAAACTTGAAATTTGAAACGCGTTTTTCTCAAATTGGGTTGATTGAAATTAATGAAAACCAGCCTGACTTAAAATTTGAACCAAGCTCACTTAAAACAATGAAGATCAATCTTGCTTAAACTTTTTACATTAATGGTATGGTGCATTTTTGGTTTTGAGTAGATTTACCCCGACCAGAAAAAGCGAAGAAAGTAGCTAAAGAAAGAAATGGTAAACATCTGCTCAGAAATCGGCTTTGTTAGAATCAGCTAAAAATTTAAAATGATCGAAGTTGTATCAGTAAAACGAATCAGTGTGATCATCATTTTGCTATTTATTTTTACATTGATGGTACAAAATTGCAAAACTTAGAAATTTGGGCGGAAAATGTAAAAAGTTTTTTTTGTCTATCAAAAATTACTCCAAGAGTTCTTGGTTTTTTAGTCAATCAAAAAATACTCCAAGTTTTTTTGTTTCTTTACTGACAAAGTTAAATCACTGCAGACCTCTTATGTTGCCCAACTAAATTAAGAAGGATGTAGTCTCCAAAAGTGGGCGCAAAAGGCTTTGAAAGTGTTTTTAATTTAAGAATTGGTGTCTTATAACGTAAGAATGACGTTTCACAACATAGGTTTATCGGTCTTTTTTAATCTATTTTATTGAGGATCTCAAGAAAAAAAAGCGCACGATCATTTGAGGCAAAGCATGACCTTTAGAATCAAATTCAACAGAAAAAAAAAGCATGTTAACGCAATATTTTGATATAAAAATTTTTGGTTGGACTAATAAAATAACAGCAACCCTTTGTTTTTTTCGAGGAATTGTTAAATTATGGAAAACAAATTAGCCGTTAGCAGAATTCGTTAGCCAGTGCCATGGGGGACTGATTGATTAAAAATGTATATACAAACTCTGAACAAACGTTTTAAGAGGCTTTCAGTCTCAGACTACACTCGTCGAGATCTGGCACAGATTACGAAAAAAATTATCCTAATAATTATTACTTTGAAAGGAAGAAAGTTGATCAAATAAAAATTTTACCCAAAATATGGCTGAGAAAAAATGAGAGTCAACAATAACGACAAACGTAGCAGCTCGGCTTGTTCTAACAGAAAATAAATTATAAAAACAGATTTTTTTCACTGTCGGTGGTGCTTCTTTGGCTTTTGTTTCTATAAATCAAAACTTTTCCATTTTCCTTTGACTTTTTTGATTGGTAAAAGAGGTCGTCGGCTGGAAAATTTTGCTTGGTTGATGTTAATTTCTTTTTTTGTTGTTCCGTAATTTCCCCGAAGTTCATTATTGACGAGCCATTTATTTAAAATTTTTTAATTTGGGTTATACCCCGTGGTGCTAACTTCTTTCAGATTTACAGTTTAGATGCGAACATGATCCACGAGCAGTTCAGTTTTGTGCCGAATGTGATCGCATCCGAGCGAACCGGAAAAGGCAATTGCTGCTTGTTCACTGACATCCTGTTTTCCAAATTAGCATTTTGCTTCGATTAGCCGACGTATTTGTCTGAACGCAAAAAACGTTGTTCACAGGATTTTGTTCGAATACGATTAACTGTTTTCGTTCACAACGTACGCTTTCGATCTCGGAAAGTTTTTTTGGTTATGTTGAATTTAAGAAACCATCAAACTATTGAAAATTTAAAAAATTATTATATTCCAAAATCTTTTATTCAACAACTGAAAGAAATATAATAACATACAGCTCTTTACATTTTTTGCGTTATTGATCAATAAAATAAAAAGAGTAAAGTCGTTCCATAGAGGGAGATGAAAACATTTTGAATTAGATTGAAATAATTAAGGCTTTGTTAGTGGTGAAAATGTATTATGAATCAATTTAAAAAGCAAGCTTTATTCGGTAAGAATTGCTCAATATGAATTGAAAAAAATTATTAAGAGCCAAAAGTTAGCTAATGGATGGGATCTATCTTTTATTTGTTATTTAATTGTACTGTTAAAATTAACTTAGCCCAAACAAGTGGGAAGACTCAAGGTGTCGTATACTCTAAGTTTAGAAGCATTGGCTTTCCAGAAAACCAATAGGTAGTAGCAAATAGTGTTGAGCTATCAATGGAACACCAAATGTGTGTGTAATCTAGTTGACCTATTCCTTCCATAGGGGAAATTGTTCTCTCCTCTCCTTCAGCCACCTCTGCCATATCTTTCTCTAAATTTATTTTGTAAACATGAGAGAAATCACCACAAAGATCTGAAGCAAACAAGTACCCTTCCGCAGCATCTGACTGCACACTTTCTTCAGATGGTATCCATACTAATGAATAAATATTCTCCATGCCAGAGAGTCGAATGTACTTGATGGATTTGGGCTGCAGTTTTTGAGATGTGTTTGAAGTTAATTTAGAAGTATGTGCAGATGTTGTTGCTGTTGTAGTTTGCTGTGAAGGCAAAGAGACCACTGCTATTGTTCTTTTATCAGAGACAAGTAACAGTGTGTTCTCATTCACCAATACTCTTTGACCAGAGCAACGAACGTTTAAACTGATATTGAGTTGTACAGTTTGTTGTCGGATATGACTACGATACAAAGTCACACTGTTGTATTCCCGCTCATCTCCTCTCAAATCCTCCACTACCACAGCCACTGTCTCGCCTACAGCACACAATCTCCAATAATATACATATTTTCCATTGAGTAGTCCCTCAGTGTCGAGTAGTTCTCTCTCCTCGATCAGTTCCTTGTTCTTCATTATGTCCAGCACTGCCACTCTCTTCACTCTGGTTCCCTTATTCCAAATCACACCATAGAGAGAGTTATTGCTGTCTAGTGTAATGTCACATAAATCGTTTTTTGCGTCTGAGTTCAACTTCATCTTCTTACTCACTTCAAACTTCCCATTTGGCCCGTTTAGTCTTAACACTGTTATAGTGGTATTAGCAAGACAAATCACTTCTTTCGTGGCAGTATTGTACACAGCTCTACTACACTCAATCTTCTCATCTCCAATCGCACTCTTTGTAACTCGCACCAACTCTTTCTTTTTTCCTCTTTTCAAAGTCGAAGCCACATTCTTATTCGGTTGAACTGGAGTCGTATTTCCATTGTCACCTCCTCCAACTGCGCCCAATAGCTCCTCGGAGACTGGCGTTTCAACTCTGCTGCTCCCTCCTCCATCAAGCGTCGATGAGGAGCTATGAATCGATAAGCGATCATAATCGCTGTCAAAAGAATCCCCTAAGATGCTTCTCTGCTTTCTTTCAAGTTCTTCAAGTTCGGTCAAAATTGTTTCTTTAAATTTACGAACATCCGTGATGTGATTTTGAACCAGATTGCGAACAATGTCTGATTTCTGCTCAAGCTGATTGGCTGTGCTAGTTTTCAAAACTTCGTTTTGTTTATTTTCTGCAATCTGCGCCTGTTGGACGATCGCCTTCCAGTCCTCCAAAATGCGGCTCATTTTTTGACAGTCTTTCTTGTTTTCGACAATTCGTTTTTGGATCTCTTTTTGAGGCTCTAGATTGACCTTGATGAATCCTACATTATGTTTGCGATAGTCATCTTCATCGTGTTCGTTCTTCCAACATTCCTCGCATAGCTCCACTTCGCAGATGTGGCAGAAGTAGCGAACTGTGGAAGTTGGGTGTTTCTCACAGTAAACGACCGAGGCGAAATCAGAATGAGATCGGATTGAAGATGCCACTGAACTAGCAGTATTTGGCCTTTCTAAACATGAAAAAAAAAGTTTTCAAAACAAGTCATGATAACAATAACAGTTTTCAGTTTTCAGTTTTTTTTAAATTTCCTACTTTTTTGGTTAATTGTTTCCGTTTAAACCGTTTGGATGTACATTAGCGGTGAAGAAATCTCTCAGTGACAGTTTGAGTACATCAAACTTGAAAAAATCTGCCACGGAAAAAAAACGGTCAAAACACCTGAAAACTTGACTACAAAAAAAAAGACAACTACAAATTTGAAACTATTTTTTGAAACCGTTTTTTTTGCATTTTTTGTAGCTTTCAACGTAATTTTCTACTGTAAAACCACGTCCATCAGAAAAAGTTTTACAGAAAATTGTCCTAAATGCCCATCTGGAGGTTCCTCATTCGACAAAACAAGCATTTTTTGAGACGTCTCAAAAAGGCCAAAATAAAAATTTTAATACGGATGATGTTGCAGTACCACCAGTATCATATATTTTACGATCCTCCTTTTGTTTCGTTCCAGCAGAACATGTTAGTTTCATTTAACATCTTGATTAAGAAAAACATGTCTAGGAATGATTACTTTCAAAAACAACCAACTATGTAAATTGAACTGCTGTAGCACCATTTATTTATTTTTGTTTCATTTAGCTTTCTATAAAGTTTTAGTTGAAATAACTTCTAAATCGATCGGGTGATCTGTCAATTGGCACTGATTCGTATTTCTGTAGAATGTAAATCTTATTTTTTCTTTGAACTTTTATCAAGATGTGACGAGTTCAATTTTTTAGGCATTGAATTCCATTCTGTAATGCAGCATCTTGACCCTGACGCTTTGCCTTTTTGTTGTTTAGTCGACTCTGGGGTATTGCCTGTAGTGTTCTCTCGTTTTCATGCAAATTAAATGTTTTGTACAAAAAATCACATTTTCGGCTCTTGTATTTTTTCAAGCAATCGAAAAAATTGAGAAGACTCATTTTCGCTATCAGTAGTTTTAAAAGAGGTGTTTTTTATTGTATGATCACGTGCTCCATCAAACTTCCTACAACAAAACCAGACTTTGATACCCAATTTTGTAGCTTATTGATTCTGCTCATTCGTATAATTTGTAAGTTCTTAAAGAAAACTTTGCTTTTTCTTGTCTGGAATAAAACTAAGGACTTGAAAAAACTAGTCCGAACCTTAAAGAAATTTATGTTCCTAATAAGGTACAGATTCATTGAGCAAATTTGCTTAAAATATTGATAACTTGAGTTGAAAAACTTAAATCTTGATTCAAAAAGTTTCTAGATGTCTCCCCGAAAACAAAACTTCTATTTTGTGATTTTAAAGGAAAAAAACGGAGACTACACCAGTTTCAAAAATAACTAAAATTAACTTTTTTTATTGGAATTCAAAGAGATACGATTTGTTCCATAAAGACATAGAGGTCATCCAGCTATTTTTAAGAGTAATCTTGCAATAAATTGTAGAATTTCTGGTTCAAATTGGACTGGTATCATCTGCAAACTGAATCGTTTAAAGTTGAAAGAAAGTCAAAAGCATAGAGAAAGAAAATTTCGTTTTTATTTTTTTTTACCTTGATGCATTCAATTTTGACAGTTGTAGGTGTTTACCCGTTGCTAAATTTGAAGATCTAATGCTCCATGATGTATATTCATAGGACCAGTAGTTTGTTTCACTTTGTAAGCTATCAAGGGACAGAAATACTTCTTTTCAAGTAATTTGTAATTGCCCGAGTTCGAATGAAGTTTAACAGGGAAAATTTTTCCCTGACCCTTGAAAGATTTCTTTTTTGTGTTTAACGCGGAAACTTCATTTGTAGTTCTGCGAAAGCTCGCTTTAATATATTTGCTAAATAATAAAGATCAGTTACTCGTTTGTCTAAAACTGAATAAGAAAAACTTGTTTTTGTGAGATTATGATTTTTCTCATCTTTGAGTTAATAAAATTTCGGTGTTCTCTGATTTTTATCTTTTTCTGAAAAACTGTTCTGGGATAACTTTTCTCAGTGTTTTTCAAAAGTCTAGTTACAAGGTTTCTTTGCCTTCCTATAAAATATTTGATTTGCATCTGTTCAATCATTTTAAAAAATTGTTGAAAACCATTGTTTTTCCTTGATCATCTGCTTAATGTATTTTGTTAACCACGGTTTCCTAAATTATTGCAGTTTTTTAATCCAATTGTTTTTGTTTTCAATAAATGAATGCTTGTCCAAACTAATTTTTTTCAAACAAATTATCAATGAAAGCGGAAAATATGTTTTGTGCATCTAATTGCTGGTATATGATAGACCAGTCAGTATGACCTCAAATAAGTTTTTGATCTCTGAAAAACAAAAAAATTTCGGAAATTTCAACGTTATCGACACTAAAAAGCAAAAAAATCATCTATTGTTTTGTAAGCTGACGTTTTTTTTCAAGTTAGTTCATCTAAGAAAACTCTACAAAAGATTTTTTGAGACAATATGAAACATTCAAAAGTACTTTTGTGTCAAATGGTTGACTTTTTTCCAACCAGATTGATTCGAAGATAGTTTTTTTTTTCATTGTCTTCAGGTCATCCTTGTTTTTGACGATATAATTTTTTGGGGCTTAAATTTCAACACCACCACCCGTGCTAACTCTTGTCGACTTTGCTCTGCATGTGCAGCAAGAATTAAACATGAGACTGAGAAACTTTATATCTGTTATTTGATTTTCATAGCCAATTTCAAGTGACAAAGAAAAAACTGTTCCCTGGTATTTTTTCTGAAATTTTTTCTGCTCATCAAACACTTGTGATGTTTTGTAAAAAAAACTACAGTTTTTTCCATTCTTATTCGATCCAACAAGTTCTCAAAAAATTAGTTTTGCTCAAATTTGGAGGGCCAGGGTATACTTTACTATCTCCTCATAATATATAGCATTTAATTTGTTAAAAATCTCCCGGAATATAAACAAAAGTTGCCTGTAACTGCTAATCTTAAACAAAAAAAATCTTTTGTTGCAACAGAGGCCATTGCGAGGCCTAAAGTAAAAAAATATCATCAAAGTAGAAAAAAACTAAAAAACAAAAAAAGTTGGTCTCTTCACAAGGATCACAAAAATTTCTGTTTGAAAAGTTGTTTCAAAAATTCAGAACCGAACGAGTTATTATTTTTTTCAAAACTTTTGTATAATTAAAAAGACTAAATTCTTCATTTATTGGTTTTTTGCGTGATAAACGTGGTCAAATTTATTTTAAAAACTCATCAATATTCTTGATCATCATTATGATTGAGGCGAAATAAGCACATTGAAAGCCATTTCAAGCCGTTTTTCGACAAACGTATTGAAAACTTTATAGCGGAATGATGTTTTTGAAAACGTGTAAATTACGCCTGTGTTTCAAAAAACAGATCAAAAATAGACATGAAACTATGAAATAGCATTTGAAAATAAAAACAGGGTTACTGTGCAAGTAGCACAAATTGTTAGAGTTACGTGTCGTTTTGATATTAGAGTCGTTTTTTTGGCGTGGTATAAAAAGATCTGAACGAAATACTAGAACTTCTGTTTTAGGCCATTTTTTGAACAACTTACTGAAAGTTTCATGACAAAATGATGCGTTTAGATCTTTGATGATCTTTCAAACAACAGATTGAAAACAGATAAAAAACTATGAATTAAGAAATATAAATTAAAACCAGTATTGCCTATTACTGTGCAAATAGCACTGATTTTTTTTTCAATTAAGCGTCGTTTGTTCTGCGTAGTATGATAAAAAAAGATCTGATTGAACAACCAGAACAACCAGAACAACCATAATTGAGAGTCGTAGTAAAACAGGCAAATTGAGGAAACAGTTTCATTAGAAAAATTACCAAAAACGGGAAAAAATGGCATAAAAAAGTTTGAAGTTCAAAAGAAAAGTTGAAATTTTTCAAATTTTGTTTTTGAGGTTTTTGGTCTTTTTGATACATACTGAGGCGCCAAAAACGCCTAACCCTAAGCCAACTTTAATTGAATAAAACTAAATTTTCCAGGCTGAAGTTAAGCATAACTACGCTATTGTAATTGAACAAAAAATCAAACTTAACTTGGTGCGAATCAGACTAAAAGGTCTTTAATATGATATATCACTCAACCCAGTCCAAAGATTATTTGTGATACCTAAGTTTTTGTGAAAAACAAAAAAAGAAAAACCTAAAACACCTCCGAATATATAGTTCGTCCTCATTTTAAATGTGAAACTGATTGTGAAAATTAGACGATACAGTTTGATGGAGCTGCTACATATTATAAAGAGAAGCACAGGCCAAAAAATGCAATCAATGTTTTTTTTGAAAGTTCAGCATGAAAAACAACTATGTCATCTTACATGATTTTTGTATTAGAAAAAATTATAATAGAAAAATTATGATAGAAAATTTTTATTATAGAGTGAGGCCAAACTGTGCACTTGGATAGGCGCTCAATTTTGTATCTGTATGAGCCTGGATTCCAGAAACTAATCTTTAAACATGTTCCAAAATGTAAGTGAATTACATTTACAAACTTTCCGTGGATTTCGCGTACAAACAACTGTAACAAAAATTTTGTCGGAACATTTGTTGTGTCGCCGATTCTGCAACAAGCGAATATAGCCAGTTATTTTTGACTCCGGAACTATAAGTGAATTCCGCAAAAAGTAAGTGAAATCCGAAAAGGTAAGTGGAATCCGCAAACTGTAAGTGGATTCCGAATTTTGTTTTTTAATGAATTTGCATATGAAAATTTAAAAGCTAGAGCTGGAATTTCTATTTTTATCAATGAGAAATTTAAAAGCAAGGACATTGTCAGTGGAATCCACGAAAAAATCTTAGAACCTTCGTTAACTAAATTGGTAGATGTCATCTTTTAGTATTTGGGACACGTATCCCAACAAACAGTTTTTGGGATCATAGTTTTGGAAACACAACACCGAATAAATTCATTGTTTGGAGTCACTGGATTAGAGTGTTTAGAAACACAACGCACACAAAATCGCCATTTTATAATAATTTTTGAGATTCCATCGATCCCAAATATTGGTCAGTATTCAGGATTGATGGATTTCCAATTACTGGAATAATATGGAATAAATATGGAATAAATTCATTATTTGGAGTCGGTGCGTTGAGAGTGTATAGAAACAAGGTCAGTCGACGAATTAGGTCAGTATTTGGGATTCCATCGATCCCAAATACTGGTCACTATTTGGGATTCCATCATTCCTAAAAAGTGAAGCTGGGTGTTTGACAGAAATTGAGATCGAACATTACATATATATACATATATCTAAACGAAATCCCCAAACAAAATGCGGATTCCACTTACAATTTGTGGATTCCTGTTACAAGTTGCGGATTCCGCTTAAATTTGCGGAATCCGCAACAGCTCAATTTAATTATACACATGTTTTATTATTTGGTTGCGGATTCCACAAACGGTTCTGGATTCCGCAAAAACGGTTGCGGATTCCGCAAATTCGTCTATTTTTGCAGCGATTTTGAGCGGTACAATTTTTTAGGTATTTGTTTGTGGAAACCAAAACAGCGAGGAAGACCAAAGAAAAGTAGCAATGTTGCGGAATCCGCCACAAATCTGATTTTGGCCTGTTGCTTAATCCGCTTACAATGCACAGACGCACATTTCGGCCTCGTAATGTTTTTTGTCTTCTTGCTAAAAAAACGAATAAACAGCTGAAAACAATATTTTGTCACGCCCGCATTTTTTGAAAGTCGGAGCAATTACTTGCCAAGTGTTTTCAGGCTCGAACTTTTTTTTCGGCAAAGCAATACTACTACCCACCAAACTTTGCACTTTATTCAACCAATACACATTCAGATTTTTTATCGATTTTTTTTCAAGTCTTTTAATCCGAAATTTGCTTTGTTTCTATCGAGCAGCTGCTAAAAGTTGCCTTCAAATTGCGTTAAAACTAATACTCTGAGATAGCAAGGAGCAATTTGGCTGGCATCTTTTTTTAAATGAACAAACCTTGTTCTGGGGGTGGCAAGACAATCGAGTTTCTGTCCAAAGCAGATGCAGGTCTGCAAGGGTAATCCTCAAATTTGAGTTTAAGGCGTCGCCTGGGTGACACTTTGTGGCTTTTGCATTTCTTATTTGGACATTGCTGCACTGTCTTTGAAGCAAGGTCCATAGCACAACTCTTACAAAGACAATGTCCGCATGGGATTTCAAAGGTATCTTCTGTGTAATGGAAGGTTTTCTTGCATCCCGGGCATTCAACAGAAACATCATCGTCCACGCCGAATTGAGGCATGCGTCTATATGTTGCCATGGTTGTTGAATGGTACCTCTTTCTGTAATGAGGGTGTGAAGACAAAGATGAGTTTGATTTGAAGTTTGCAAAGGGTCAGAATTTGCGGTAGAGTTCGGAAAAGGCGCTAAACAAACATCACATTATTGATTTACTATTATCGGATTTTTGAAAAAGTTTTGAGCAGTTTTTGATTTGACTTTCTCGGACACGTAATTAAACTTGACGACTGCTTTTTGGACCCCAGAGCATTTTAGGTTGTTTTTCGGCTTATTTTTCAGTATTACGGAATGCTAGAAGTTCAGACTCTTAAAGGGTCGATTCTGTGTATGCATTTGAACGAATACATTAAAGGAGAATTTCGAGGTATTATTTCAAAAAAACTTAGCTAGAATTTAAGAGGTTTTGAACGGTTTTGAACGGTTTGATACTTTCTTGTCTTTAAAAACGCTCAAACCGCTCAAATCTTGAGAGATTTTTGAGCGGTATTTCAAGTAGGGTTACGAAACGTTCATATGTGTTTGCCATCTCAAAAACTGTATGCCTAAAATTGATTGAAATTTTGTCAAAAAACGTTATCGAGGCTCGTAGAATTTCATTGAATATAAGACTTGCTTTCCATGAAAAGACTAACCTTCAAAAAGTTTGTACTTTTATATTTCCACGCTTTAAAATGCACCACTTTGAATTGTTTCAGTTCTCTTTTTTAATCGGGTTATTAAAAAATTGCTGTTTTATTATGTAACGCCTAAGATTAGGCATTCTTTAAATATGTATGTATATCAGGCGTTATGTAATAAAACAGTCATTTTCTTGCCAAATACTTTTTGAATGATTTAGTGGATCTGCTCAACAATCCCCCCACCCCTCCTCTGGCATCTATGAAGAAATGCCACCCCTTTCAGGGGCGGATCTAGGATTTTCTCGAGGCGAGGGATTTTCAAAAAAATGTCAAAAATTTTGTCGACCTTTTTTTAGGTCGACTTATTTGATTCTCCGAGCTCTCCAAAACCATCAGAAAAACCTTATTGAAAAAACAGGCCAAAAAGGCGTTCGTAGGTACTTTTTGGAAATTTTTGCCTAAAAAACATGTGTTTTTTGTCGAGAGCTCCCCCCTCAAAATTGGCATATTTTGGAGCCTAGGCGCCTTTGGAAAAATTTTAGGGTCAGTCAGCCAAAAATGAATATCCCAAATTAGTACAAAGGGGGACTCAAAATAGTAACTTAATCTAATTAACAATTATCCCCCTCTATCTTGAAATTGAAATGGGTATTGTTAAGTAGATCCAGTTTAGTTTGCAGCTGACGCTTAATCGGCTGAGATAGATTGAGGGTTATTTCTCCCAAATTGAAGTATAATTGACAAGCTAGTCCCAAATATCTTGGCGAAAATGATCACAGTTAAAATATTGTTTTTATGCTAAGCCCATGATTAATACTTTTCAGAGGATAGTAAAAACATTCCATCAAAGATTGCTAGTTTAATGATCGAAAATCGTCTGAAAAAGAAAAATAAATTGAGCTTGAATATTCCTCATTTTTTTAAATGGAACAAAAAAGATAAAAGAAACAGAGAAAACACTGGGAAACATTACTTGTGTTTGGTACGCGGTTTTGAATTTCTTGCGACTTCTGGGTTGCGGGCACCAGCGGATTTAGGAGGGGGGAAGGAACGGGGGGCTAACCACAACCCCCCCAAACCACTCAGGGATTCGACCCCCTGCCGACCCAAAGGGTCCTTTTGTACTAATTTGATATCCATTTTTGGCTGACTGACCCTAAAGTTTTTCTAAAGGCGCCTAGGCGCCTAAATATATCAATTTTGAGCGGGGAGCGCGCGCCGAAAAAACGAAATTTACGGTCAAAATTTTCCAAAAAGTACCTAAGAACGCTTTTTAGGCCTATTTTTTCATAATGTTGCTTGCGGAGCAGAATAGTTGGCCAAAACAGGGGTCTTTTTAGTGCTTTGGAAAAGCTCGAAAATTTTATTTAGTCCCAACCTAAAAAAATCGAAAAAGTTTTTGAAAGTTTTGGGGATTGTTTTTTTAGATCAATTCTTTTGTGTTTTTAAAAAATCTGTACCGAAAACTAAAACCAAAAAAGATTCAAAAAACACTAAGAAGTAACGGTCGAATATCTTGAAACTTCGCATTAAATGGGCAGTTTTTGAGCGCTGCACCATCTCAAATGTCGTATAACTTAAAATTCGTCATAATTAACCATCATTGCGAACTTGCGAATAAATACTGTACAATCGGCACGAATGATTTAATTGGACCTATCGTGCTTTCGGGTAATGGCGCTCTGGAGCTTGCTAAATTTTATTTTCAACTTGCTTCCTGTTGGCTACCTAATATGCACCCACTTATTTTTTGTGCCATCTACATTATCTTTTTCAAAAACGCTTCATTGGTACTCACTTTTCGTCAAAAGAAATGGTAAAGGGTGAGAAGAGAACTAATTGAATAAAACTGGATTGATAAGAAGATAAAAATCGGCTCCTCGAGTTCTTAAAAGCAAAAATTCCAGTACAGTTTTCACAATCAAGAATTTAGGACTTCAAAGTTCATGGAGCTTATAACTAAAGTATTTGTTTTTGTGAGCATAAGCCAAAAGAATTAGATTTTGAGCATTAATGATACAAACAAGTTATTTTTTTCTCAACTAAACCAGAAAATTAGTTTCAACAGTTAAAAATTTGTGTATTTGGGTGATTGCTTGAGATTTGAACAAATTATCAATGTGTTTTTATTTTTGAAATTATGCTCAAATAATAATAAAAGTACAATCTGTTGTTCTGAAAATAAATTTTGCACGTTCGTTTTTTGAAAACTACAACAAAACTAGAGGGTGTGATAAATCGTGTTGAGACTAAACTAAGCTTATATCTGATGATCAACGTGGTCTTTGAATGTTTATTTGGTTTTGTATACAGTTGGTTGTAATTTTATTCTGAACACAGTATTGTATCATCAAAACTCGAATAAGTGTATTTTCAAAACTATATTGAGCCATAATAAAAATTTTATTCCAGAAGTTTGTTTTTGCTTCAATGAGCTAAATGCATGATAGTTCATTTTAAAATTTGCTGAAGAATCTTTAAGAGCGGCTAAATTTTTTTACCATGCATTATGAAAAAGTTTTAACAACTTAAGCAAACGTTTTTTTTTAATATAAATGAGTGTTCGAAAAATTTAAACATTTACAAATCATCAGAAAAAACTTGTTCAACACAGGCTGGTTTTCGAAATTACAGAAATTCTGGGCTTTTTTCCTTTTGGCTTTTTTTCCTTTCCCCGAATATCTCATAAACAATGATTTCTTGGTGTAACGAGTGGTTTAACAAGGTTGAGTATGGAGACCATATATGTTTGTCATGGCCTGATGATTCCGAATGCTAAATTTCCTAACAAAACGACAAAGTGAACAGAAAACTTACACTAAAAAATTTGCAGGTGGGGGTAAAAGGAAAAAGAGCCTTCCTTTTTCCCCACCAGCAAACTTTCTCTAGTAATTTCTCTGTTTTCGTCGTCCGATTGCTACAAAACAAGGCATGCAGACTGAAAAGGCTGTGGCAAACACTTTTGGCCTCATGTCTAATCTTGTAAAACTCCAGTTACGCCAGAAAATTGTTGCTTATATGAGGCGGGGAAAAAAAGAGTCAAATCTTGTTTTTCATAGAAAAAAAATACATTTTTTTTCATGCATGCATGACTCCAACTGGTCATTGTTCAGTTTTTGAAGAAAGTGACGGAATTTTGGTGCTCGGTTTTTTTCGTTAGAGTAATTTCGAGTTTTTTATTAAGCATTTTTGGCTATGTTTGTTTCGTCATCTGAAAGTTTTTAATTATTTGAGCTCAAAATTTGAAAAAACATCCGAACTGTGATTATGTTTTGTTACGTTAAAGTTTTTTTAGAAATTGACAATTTGACCAAGTTACACAATGACGGCCGGAGCAAACATTTACTCCAAAATAGAACTTCTTAAAATTGAAATGAGTCTTGCTATTTTGTGCCTTTCGAGTAATGTAAATAATTCTTGTATTTGAAGATATCCAGCTGAAAAATATTTTGGCGTCCGTCGTATCCGTCGCAACTTTGTCGGGTAACGTCAATTAGATTGTTTGGCATGTTGCTTTCAAATTTTAGTGAGAAAAATTCGTTTATGTTAAGAGGTGCTGTTTTGGAGGATTTTGCAAAAGTCTCCCGAGATCTTTGTCAGAAAAGTGGCAAATTTTAAAATCTTTTGCAAGACTTTTGCAATTAATGCAAGATATTTCTCAATGATTGATAGGCAAAAAAAAATTTTTCTTCGTTTTGTTTCTGTAATTTTGTCTAATTTGTTTTTATTTGAAAAATTTAATAATGAGATTTTCAAATTTCAAGAAAAAAACAAATGCCAATGAACAAAAAACAATTCTGCGCGTATCCTGGCAAAAACTTGAACGCTCCGGTTTTTTTCATAGGTCTATACAAAGATGTTTACTAGAAAATCTTTTCTATGATATTTAAAAAAAGTTAGATTTTATCATGAAAAATTATCTCCCACGTGCTATTTAAGTACTAAATGATCAATTTTGCAAAGAGCAAACTAGTAAAAATACCAAATACAATTTAAATTATTTCCTTTTCCTTGCTAATTTAACTTCATTAAATCTAACATTAAACCAAATTAAAATCTGTTTCCGTTAAAATTTGTTTGATCGACATTTTCATAGACGTCTCCTTACACCATCCCGGAGAATGCCGACACCAAAAATGCTCGAAAATGGTCTCTAGCAACATACTCTGAGAGCGTTTGCATTGCTTACGGGACATTAGATTTGGAGTAGGGACCTGTCGGCCCTTTGAGTATTGCGTCTAGCAAAAAGAGATCAATCAATTATGATAGTTGATAATGTTAAAAAATCTTTTTTGTTTTTGAACCGTCTTGATTTGTCTGAGAATAATGGCCATGTTCATTAGTAGTCTAGTCTGTTTAAACATTTGGTTGCAAACTGAAGGCCAGATTTTAGCAAAGTCACTAAAGTTCAAATTTTTTGCAGCAAAAATTATGTCGTTTCTTTGATTTCAACCGACTTTTTGTCTTCTCTTTGATTGATTAACCGCTTTTTTCATTTATTTGATTCCCTTTTCTTTAATTTTTATATGGTATCTTATTTCGTGGGCACTTGTATAACGAGGTAAATTTTGGACTGGTATTTTATCGGCTGGTATCTTCTCGTTCGGGTATCTTAAGGTAAGGGATCTTTTGTCATGTAACCTAAAGTTCCTTTTTTCAAGAGCAACCTTTTTTCTAGAAAATACTGGGAGTTTTAGAACTAGCCTGTTCCAAATACCTTCATATAGAAAACTGGAATGAGATAACTTCTAGGTCAGATTTTTATGTGCAAGCAAGTTTCTGCCAGTTCTTAAGACGAAAACTTTTCAAGGCCAAAAATTCTCAATGCGTGTGCTGAACAAACAATTTAATGCCGTTTACACAAATTCTCTGTCTACCAATGAATCAACGTCTAGCAGGAGCCGACTCGCCAAAACGAGCCTACATGAGAAAAAACGCGAATACTGCCTGAGATAATTTGAAATTTTATGTTGCCTTGATCGAAATTGTCACCCCACAACCCCACAATTTACCGAGAGATCAGCCAGCATAGTTTTTATTGTTCCGACTTTCGATACAAAAGTAACGGAATATTTGTGCTCGGGGTGGGTTTTTTTTTCTTCAGACAAATTTCGACTTTTTAACTAGCCCTTTTTGACGGAATTTTTTTACATCATTCGAAAGGTATTGTTGTCCTGAGCTCAAATTTGAAAAGATATTTCACCTGTGATCATTTTTCGTAAAGTTACGGGGGTTTAAAGATTGCCATTTTGGCCGATTTGGGACAATTAACGCGCAATATATTTCGCGCTATTAACGCGTAAGCGGAGAGTTAATCCGTCCTATAAATCGTTCCAAATTGGTTGAACGAAGATTATTTGCCATAATTGATTTGTTACAAGGAACGAAATCTCCCTTTTTGTTTTTTATATGGCGTGTGGGGGGATGGTTTTCATAAAAAAATTCAAATTTTAGAAATTTTTTTTTGATTTTGTTTTATTTCATTGAATTTTTTAATGTGTTTACTGCTCCATAAACCTTAAAAGGCAGTCGGAACATTCAGGGCTTCGCCCTGATACGAGCTGTCTTGTTGTTTTTATTTTGCGTGTCGGCAAACAAATTATTGGTGCTTTATTAGAGAGCAAGCAGTTCGAAGATGGTCAGGTCTTTAACGATGATAGTAAAGGTAAGCAACGGACTATAAAACAAGTAGACAACAACTATTCACGATTCCGAGATTATTTAAGTGGACATTAGCAATATCCAGTTCATATAAGTATATATCGAGTTTGTTCGTAAACATAATAATTTAGCCGAATTAGGAGCGAATTATAACACTAGGACCAGTAAATGGCGAAAATAAGCGATTTGACTATAATTATGGCAAAAAGAACTACATGACAAATTTCGAACTTTCGAGAAGAAACTGAGCAATTTGCAGTTGCTTTTTGTAACTCAGACTGGTGATTTATCGAACAAGTTATATGAAACAAACAATTTAAATGACCAAAACGCGAATAAATAATAATAGGCAATTGTGCATCCCTATACTCCCAAAGCATATCTACAATGCGGTTTTGACGTGGGTCGACTGATTTATGTTTGCCACTGATTTCTGGTTTGTGTCAATTCTCGATTAGTTTCCCAAAATAACCGTCTTCAATGGTAAGCAACAGACAAGGATTTGAAAAATGACCATTACAAGGAACCACTCAGAAAACACTCAATAGGCAGGCGGATTGGAACCTGATCTAAACTATATTTTATGATTGGATAAATTAAATGTTTTACCAATGTAAAGTATTTAATATTAACCAATCATGATCCATCTAACTAACAACCCACTTATTTGTAAGTGCTGAAGTTACTTGTAATTTCAGCACCAGAGAGATTTGAATTTAACTTAGAAATTAGTTGGACTCTCCCGAGCACTTCAGCAGCCGCAATAAACCAGTATACCCTAGATCTATTGAGCCTAGCAGAGACTAGTTAAACAACCTGAGACTAGATAGTATAAGAGTAAGATTAGGATCGGTATTAGACTAAGAAGTTGCACGAATCTATCCGGCCGAAAATAAGATAGCGTGACGAGCAGACGGTGTACCCTATCCGAAATTACTCTATGAGTTATACACCCCAGTCCTAACTCATCTGGTGCGACCATAAGTCTCGAACAAGACCTTACTAGATTAGAATTAACCAAAAATAGATTAGAAATTAGACAAAAACATTTACAAAATGTTATACGACAATAATTTAATTGAAATGTCTCTCCGACTCAATAGATCCGAGCCAATATTCCGAACCATAATAGAACTACCCGGAATTGGAAGAAGACATCGAACCAAAGACGACATACGACAAAGTAGAAACTTGCCGTATAGTTATATGATAGTTCGGCAAAAGCCAGAACAAACTTTTATATTTCGAATACTACTTGCAATGAATTTAGATTTCCATTTGCAAACATAAAACCTTGAAGTAAACCTTCAAAATCATTTCAGGCGCTAAACAAAATTAATATTATACAATAACGATTGATAAAAAGATCTAAGATCGTTTTCCTAAAACTCTGCAGTATTATACAAAACATGTTTGAAAAATATTTATTGGAAAATAAAAATAAAAATTAGTAGCATGACAATAAATGGTTAGTAATCATAAATCATCTTGTTGTTCCAGCTTCATCACCTAAAACATAACAGCAATCATCAACTCACTAATATCATCAAAACACTAAATCTTTCCTTTACACAAA